GAGAATTATTCAAGGAATAGAGCTGTGCAAAAATATTTTTTGTACTGTTAAAACTGTATCCGCCCTCGAACGATAAATATTGTTGACCCATCAGAAACACATCACCTGGAATGCGTTTGGACTTGGCTGGATCTAATATTAGCGAGTATCTGCTAATGAAGTTTCTTGGCTTACATTGTACGCACACAAGCATACATGCTTCCTGCCCTTGGTTATTCCTCACTTGAATGAAAATTTTGCTATAATAACTATTCCAAGCAGTTAACGGTTTTAGTGCAGTGCCAAGTCAGAACCGTTCAGCGCCGCCAGTCTCCCAGGCGGCGCGTAACGGCTGCCGCCGGCCGCCGCGCCGCCGCTCTGGCAGGGTGTTTGACTTCATATCTCTGTTGCTAGAAAAGTTGTGGACCGATTTACTTGATTCTTGCATGAAAAGATCCGCCATTCAATTCTTAGCAGATAACGAAAATTTGACGTCAATTGCACGATCCGCTGCCCATATTGTGGTACTGCCATCTATTGACAAGGCTGGCGAACTAAAGCCGGGCGGCTATTTCCACTTTTGACACACCATGAGAATTATTGTTGGTGCAACTGCGCCCACTGCACCCATGGTTCCTACACTTATGGGCCCATCGATAGCGCTTCGGCGATACCTATCGCCTAGAGGCTGCAATGGGGCCCTTAGAGTACGGTGTCAGACCCCCCAGAGGCCGGCGTTGGACCCAAGGGTCAGCGAAGGGCCTCAAAGGCCCAGGTAGGGCCCTAAAGACTGATGTGGGCCTTCAAAGGCAAGTGCATGACCCCCGAAGGTAAGGCATGAGCCCCCCAGAGAACATAACAGGGCCATCAGTGGCCGGTGTATAGACCTCATAGGCCAGTTTGGGGCCCCTCAGAGGCTAGTGTGGGGCCTCAGGTGTCGGTATGAGGCACTTAAAGACCGTAATGGGTCCTCAGAAGCCGGCATCGATCCTTCAGAAGCCAGTACGGGGCCCTCAGAGGCACATGGGTCAGTTTGGGTCCCAGAGACAGAAATGGGACCATCAGAGGCCGATGTGGGACCTTTAAAGGCTGGTTTGGGCCCTTAGGGGCCAGTTTAGGGCCCTCAGAGACCAGTACAGGGCCTGCAAAGGGCAGTTTGAGACCAACAGAGACCGAATTGGGCACTCAGAGGCTAATGTGGGTCCTTACAGGCCGGCATGGAGCCCTCAGAGGTTAGCGTGGGGGCCCTAAAAGACCGACATGAGCCGGCGTTGGACCCCAGAGGCCAGTAGAGGGCTCTCAAAGACCAAGATGGGCTCTAAGAGGCCGATGCGGGCCCTTAGAGGCCGGTATAGGGTCTTCAGAAGCTCGTGCGGGCCCTCAGAGGCTAAGGTGGGTCCTTACAGGCCAGCACGGGCCCTCAGAGGTCAGTGTGGGGCCCTAAAAGACTGGCATGGGCCGGCGTTGGACCCCAGAGGCCAACAGAAGGCTCTCAAAGGCCAAGATGGGCCCTCAGAAGCCGATGCTGACCCTTAGAGGCCGGCATCGGGTCTTCAGAAGTCAGTGCGGGGGAGGGCCCTCAGAGACTAATGTGGGCCCTTACAGGCCAGCATGGGGCCCTCAAAGGTCAGAATGGGACCCTAAAAGACTGGCATTGGCCGGCGTTGGACCCCAGAGGCCAGAAGAGGGCCCTCAAAGGTCAAGATGGGCCCTCAGAGGCCGATGCGGGCCCTTAGAGGCCGGCATCGGGTCTTCAGAATTCAGTGCGGGGCCCATAGAGGCTAATGTGTGTCCTTACAGGCCAGCATGGGGCCCTCAGAGGTCAGTGTGGGGCTCTAAAAGACCGGCATGGGCCGGCGTTGGACCCCAGAGGCCAGCGGAGGGCCCTCAAAGGCCAAGGTGGGCCCTCAAAGGCAAAGATGGGCCCTCAAAGGCCAAGATGGGCCCTCAGACGCCGATGCGGGCCCTGAGCGGCCGGCATTGGGTCTTCAGAATCCAGTGCGGGGGGCCCTCAGAGGCTAGTGTGGGTCCTTACAGGCCAGCATGGGGCCCTTAGAGGTCAGTTTGGGGCCCTAAAAGGCCGGCATGGGCCGGCGTTGGAACCCAAAAACCAGCGGAGGGCCCTCAAAGGCCAAGATGGGCCCCAGAGGCCGATGCGGGCTCTTAGAAGCCGACATCGGGTCGTCAGAATCCAGCGCGGGGCCCTCAGAGACACTTAAAGCTGGTCTTGGGACTCTAGAGACAGAAATGAGGCCACCAGAGGCCGGTGTGAGGCTCTCAGACGCCGGTTGGGCCCCTAAGGCCGGTTTAGGGGCCCTCAAAGGCCACTGGAGGGCCCTCAGAGGTCAATGTGGGTCCTCAGCGGTCAATGTGGACGCATGACCGCCACTGAAGGGCCCTCAGAGGTCAGTGTAGGACCCTCAAAGACTGGTATGGGAGCTGTTAACCTTCCAGGCGGTGGGGGGCATTTTTTTGCCCCCCCCCCTTTACTTTTTTCGATATATCTCGAGAACCGCTGCGCCGATCGTCACCAAACTTTCAGTACCCTCCCGGGAGCAGCTAGCGCACATGGTGACCAAAAATTTTTCCAAAGGCTATGATAGGTTGGCCGCTAATGACGTAAGAGTGACGTCATTTTTGCCATTTTCGACCCAAAAAAAGGTTTCGCGGGAAGAGCTGTCAGGCCTACAGCTTTAGAGATACAGAAAAATGTTTTTGACATAAAAGGTGTGGAATCAAAAGGGCTACAAAACTGCTATTTCGGTTTTTCGAGTTTTATGGATTTTGACCCCCAAAAATCAAAAAATACATTTTTTTAATATAATAGCCAAAAAATCCAAAAAGTTTTTTGAATTTCGAAAAAACCGGAATATATGTGATAGTCCCTACCGCCTTCTATCTACATACCAAATTTGAGATCGATACCTCGTTTTTTGGCCAAGTTATAGCGAAAAAACTGTTCAAAATTGATGACGTCAAATTTTCAAACTCAATTTTTTTTGCAATTCTAGACCACGTAGCGCAAAACAAAGACCACCATTAGACTCCCCGTGACGAGCTGCATCGAATCGATACCCATTTTATGCAAAAATATCAACTTTGAAATTTGACCTTTTTTGACCTGATCTTGACCTGACCTCCACCAGAAAGTGACCTAAACCGTACCTGATGGTCTTATAACCAACACCATTGAGTTGGAAATGAAAAACTGGCCATAAAACATGCATCACATAACCTTAGTAAAGTTGGGCTCATGTGGTGACCCTTGGTGACCTTTGGTGACCTGACCTTTGACCTGACCTGGTATGACCAGTGACCTCTAATAGCAACATATGTACTAGACAACTGAGGCCTTATCGCTGATTTTCGACAAAATGCGTTTTACTCGGTGTTATAGCGCTTTTCCTAGAAGCCCTGTGAACGGTGAAACATTTTATCTTTGACCTGACCTGTGACGTCATCGGTGACCCCGAGGTCAATGAAATTTGGTTTCCCTCGACAAATTTGACAGGGCTATCGAACGCCGTTTGAATTTTCCGGATCCGTCCAGTAGTTTCGGAGATACGGGGGGGGGGCAAAAAAGTGCCCCCCCCCCCCACCGCGTCGAAGGTGGCTGGTAGGCCCACCGCCTGCCGGGTTAATAGCTGGCGTGGGTTTCTCGAGCCTCGTGACAATCGAATACGGGCCAGGGCCGCTTACGGCCATGGGGGCCCATCGGTTGTTTGGGGGGGCCAAATGATATGATGGCCCCCCTGATTTGCCTTGGGGGGGGCATGGCCCTGATGGCCCCCCCCCTGCGACCGCCACTGCGTGCCTTATGTGTGTATTGTGCGTGTGTGCTTATGACCGTGTTTGTGTGGGCGCGCCGAGGCCGTGGGACCGGTGGGCCGCATTTCCTGCGCCTGCGGCGCTAGTTTTATGGCGCACAGCTGTGTGTGCACTGTGGACCGCCGGCCGGGCTCGGGCGCGCGGCGGCAGTTGGCGCCGCGACACGATGACGTAAGGAATACAGCGTGTGAGAGGTGGCTCGGTTTTCCACAAGCTATTTCGGCTTTGTGTGAGAGACAGAGAGTAAGAGCCATGAAGGACGAGAAAAGTGCGCCTGAGAGTGGAGTGAAGCCAGCGAGTACGGCGGACGCTGCAGCCGATCTCCGACTCATACCTGAGTTCGACGGAGCGACTCAGCCTGTCACAGAGTGGCTGGAGAAGGTGGAGCTGGTGTGCCGTCTACGTGGCATCGACGCGCTGCACGTCGTCGTTCCCCTCCGCCTAACTGGCGGGGCGTTCGCTGTCTATCAGCAGCTGGACGAGCAGGACAAGGCTGGCTACGAGACCATCAAAAATGGCCTGATTTCGGCTTTCGCAGAGGATAAGTTTGACGCCTATGACCGGTTTGAGAAGATGAAGCTCCGTCGAGGTGAGCCGGTGGATGTCTTCGTTGCAGAGCTGCGTCGCCTGTCCGGCCTGTTTGGCGGTATGTCAGACGGCGGCCTAGCCTGCGCGTTCGTGGCAAAACTGCCGGAGACCACCCGCCGTGTGCTTCGTGCAGGAAGCCGCGTCGAAAGCATGACGCTGAGCGAGCTAATCAGCCGGGCCCGAGCTGTGCTCGCCGATGAAGAAGAGACTGCCATGGCAGGAGCGACGGGAGCAGCAGCGCGGACGTCGGCGGCGCCACCCCGCGTGACCTGTCACTCATGCGGACAGCCCAACCACCTGTCGCGGGATTGTCTCGCTGCTCGCAGTCAGCGGGAGCGCGGCGGGGCCCGCGGCGGTCGGCGCAGTGTGCGCTGCTTCCGCTGCAACCGGCCCGGTCATATCGCCTCGTCCTGTCCGGAAAACGACGGCGGAGAGGAGGGCTCGGCGCCAGCCTCCTCTCCCGGTCTCCAGTGAGCGGGGCGCTGCCCGTTGTGCGAGTATCGGTGGACGGCGCCACCTGTGACGCCCTGCTGGACACGGGATGCAGCTTGTGTGTAGCGCACGTGTCGGTGTGTCGAAATTGGAATCGAGACGCAGTGAGCGTGATGACGGTGAGCGGTGACCGATACTGGTGCGAGGGAACGGGTGTCGTGGAGGTGCGATCGCAATCTGGCGAATCGGTATCAGTGCGCGTGCTTGTGGTGTCACGGAAGCCGCTGGGCTTTGAGTTTATCCTGGGGATGAACGGCGTGAGTGCACTGGGCGGCGTGACGGTGAGTGCGGAGAACCATGTGAGGTTCGGAGCTGAAACGACCGGGGTGGCGGCGGTGGCCAAGAGACGGGTGCCCGAGACGGCGCCGGCGGCAGCAGGGGCGGCGGCGGTGGCCGAGAGACGGGCGCCCGATACGGCGCCGGCGGCAGCTGGGACGGCGGCGGTGGCTGAGAGACGGGTGCCTGAGGCGGCGCCCGTGGCAGCTGAGACGGCGGCACTGGCCGAGTCGACTGCACCCACCGAGGCGGCGGAATGTGGGTCAGCGGCAATTGGGGCCCTGACAGTGACCGAGACGCGGGCAATGGCGGCGCCGGAGGCGGCGGCGGGTATATGACGCGAGGAGGAGAAGGACTTTATTGTGAGCTACGATGAGAGCCAGAAAAAGTGGTCTGTGCAATTGAAATGGTGTGGGGATGAGCCAGGACAGTTGTTCAACAAAGCGGAGGAGTACTCAATACCATCAGAGGCCAGGCAGGAGTATGAGCGACAGCTCACAAAGTGGGTGACAAACGGATGGCTTGTTCCCTATGACGAGCGTGTCCACGGACAGGCAAAGGGCACAATACCGCTGATGGCGGTGATTCAGCCGAACAAAGACAAAGTGCGCCCGGTCATGGACTTCAGAGAGCTGAATGAGTATTTGGACTCGCATACGGCTGCCGCAGACGTGTGTAGCGAGAAAATTCGCGAGTGGCGCCGGTTCGGACGGAACGTGTCGCTTCTGGATCTCAAAGACGCCTACCTGCAGGTGCATGTGAGCAAGTCTCTGTGGCCCTACCAGACCGTTGTGTTTCAGGGCAAAAGGTGGTGTCTGACGAGACTAGGGTTTGGAATCGGCTGTGCGCCGCTGGTGATGAAAAAAGTGCTCAGCATGGCTCTCGGGCTGGACCAGAGAATAGACAGCGCCATGGGTGGAGAACCTGCCCCGGCCACCCCCGCCGTGGCCGGGGTAACTTTCAGCCGACCCCGGCGCGGCCGGGGTAACTTTTTCCACTTTTGCAAATCCTAAAAGCTGTCTCCATACGAAAAAACTGCCTTCTATAAGAGTGTCTCTCATTTTTCTTATCTACCTTGAAAAGTTCTTGAAAATGTACTTATTTTCATTTTGGAGCTTCTATGTTTTCAAGTCTTTTCATCGCGGAGCCCGACATGTTTCATCAAACAGAATTAAATCATATTTAAGGGCCGTTATCGTAAGATAGCACTGTAATGACATCACAAGACAGGACGAGGGTAATATCAGTGAGAAAGGAGGACGAGGTGCTGGGGCTCAAGGCTCCCCCAACTTAACCCGCGCCAGGGTGGTGGCCTTATCATAACACATTGAGTCGAGAGGTGGGCTTTTCACGCTCCTTCTAACTCGGCTACTGGGCTACGAGGCGAGAAGCGGAACGACGTTTGAAAGAGCGACAAACGTGACCAGAGAAATCTGGTCATGTTTTAGGCAAGCTCAATAATAAAATCACCATAGATCATCAAAAGCCAAATTTCTCTGATTTTAGCGTTCTCCGACAACTTTTCTCACAGTTCATGAACATAACGGAGCAACACTGCAAACAAAACATTCGATTATTCGTTTAACCCTATTCCTGGCGGGGGGGGGGCCTCAGGAGCCCCCCCCCCCCCCCCCTGAGGTTTTTTGATTATTTCTCCCAAACGCGTTGAGCTAGGAAGCTCAAATTTTCTGACTTTTCCTAAAAGGCTTCTACGCAACATGTCTGAAAATTTTGAGTTGATCTGACCTCAGGTCAGGTCACCAGAGGCGGTTTGGTGACCCTACCTCAGAAAAGTTTGCAATCACGCCAGAGCTAGAGTTTTTGACCGATCAATTTCTTCTCTTCAGGCTGTAGTTAGGGTACCAGTATGTGCAATTTGTATATCTTGGAATTTTGATATCGGTGACCTAAGGTCAGGTCAGTTTCGCGACCTCCCCATTATAAGTCAATGGGGGAAAAATCAACTCCCTGTTTTTACCACTAAAACGGGTCGGAATGGCCCCATATACCATACATGACTTCATATACGATGAACCTTCACTACCTTGAGGTCTGTTTTGCTGTTGGGCAGCTGTGAGGTCATGTGACGTCATCAAAGGTCACCAAAGGTTTTTGGCCAATAACTCCGTACAGGAACAAGATTCAGACGCGTGGATGGTCTCATTGTGTTCAGCCCCTCAAGACGCATCGAATGATATACATGATGACCTCGAGGTCACGTGACCTGAGGTCAACATTTGACCTTGACCTTTCGAGGTCAACATATATATCATTCGATGCGGATTGACGAGAGGATCACGATGATGCCCTTAGTTTGTTCCTATCTTGACTAATTCGAAAGTTATTCGAGAAAAACTCTCTCCATATCTAGCGCCGCCATTTTGACTTTTTCGACCCCTGTGACGTCATCTTTGACCTGACCTGAAAATGACCTTAGTAAAAATTGTAGACCTTGTCCATGCGTATCTGATGCCGTTTACCGCTTGTCGCTATCTTGCTTCGTTCTCGAGATCTCAGGGGGGGCGAATCGGCCCCCCCCCGCCAGTTTCTTGTCCCGGCGGAGCCCGCCAGGAATAGGGTTAAGGCTCGGTCGCGAATAATATTTCAGGTGCGAGCTCAAATCAATAAGAGGGTCAAAACGGTCAAATTTGACATTTTGTTTTGTGTGGGAAGGTTGCAACTTCCACGGAATAAGCTTTGCAAAGGTCATGATGGCATTTTTAGCACGATCATCCAGCAAATTTGACCTGATGACCTGACCTAGCACTAGGTGACATGCGTCCGAAATTTTAAGGCGTGTTGCAAAATTGTTGTTACAATTACGAAATCTTCCGCACCTGCGTGCAGCAGTTTTCCCTAAAAACGCACAAACGGCAGACATCCATTATTCTACGCCACAGAATAAGGGTTTGTTGATAACCGTTGACAAATATTTGAGCATCATCGTCTTTCTGACTTTCGGTCGCCGGCCGGGGTAACTTTTTCAAACATTCTCCACCCGTGGACAGCGCGACATCCTCCTACGTCGATGACATATTTGTGAATGAGGAGGTCGCCACCGCAGCTGAAGTGAAGGCCCATCTCGAGAACCATGGCTTGGACTGCAAAGCGCCAGAAAGTGTGATCGATGGTGCCCGTGTGCTTGGCCTAAGGGTCTGGGGGGAGCGAGACGGGCTGTTCTGGAGGCGTGACAGAACCGACATCAGCCCGCCCCCTAAACTGACGAGACGGGCAGTCTTCTCTCTGTGCGGACGACTCACCAGTCTTGTTCCTGTGGCCGGCTGGCTCCGCGTGGCCGCGTCATATCTGAAGAGGCGTGTCACCGCTGTGTCCAGTGGATGGGATGACGAGGTCACTGACCCGGAGCTCTGTGCAATGGTCATTGAGATGGTGGAGCGTGTGAACACATCTGACCCCGCGCGGGGCCGGTGAGATGTCTCTGGAGACGGCGGAGGTGTGGTGTGGGTCGATGCCAGCTCCCTCGCCATCGGGGCCGTGCTGGAGATCAACGACTGCGTCGTTGAAGACGCCTGCTGGCTGCGGAAGAGCTCGGACACCCACATCAATCTCGCAGAGCTAGATGCTGTGATTCGAGGGCTCAATCTGGCACTGTCCTGGAATTTGAAGAATGTGACGATCATGACCGACTCGCGAACCGTCTATCACTGGCTGTCCGACGTCCTGTCTGGCAGAGCCCGTGTAAAAACCAAGGCAGTGAGCGAGATGCTAATTCGGAGGCGTCTTGAGACAGTGAAGAAGCTGGGTGAAGAATATGCCATGCAACTCTGCGTGAAATTCGTCCCATCGGCTGAGAACCGGGCCGACGCGCTCACGAGAGTGCCAAAAAAGTGGCTGACCCCGCAGGGCGCGTCGATGGTGTGCGGTGCCGTCGTCACAGAGCCCGACATCGCACGGATTCACCACACCAGCGGCCATCCTGGCATCACACGAACCCTGAGACTATGCAGGAGGCAGAGCTCTGACGTCACCAGAGCTCAGGTGCGTGCCGTGATCCGCCAGTGTCAGGCGTGCCAATCGGTCGACCCTGCGCCGCAGCGCTGGGTGCGCGGCACGCTAGGGGTGAACGAGTGCTGGGAAAGAGTGAGCATGGACGTCTGCCACGCCGACAATCAACTCTACCTGACCCTAGTGGATTGTGGGCCGTCTCGCTACGCGATCTGGAGGCGCCTAAAGCGACAGGACGCTGAGAGTGTCATCGCGCAGCTCGAGTCAATCTTCCTGGAGCGAGGCGCTCCCACTGAGCTGCTGACGGATAAATATCCATCGTTTCGAAGTGCCGTGTTCAATGAGTTCGTCAGTCGGTGGGGAGTCTCCGTTCGATACCGAGCAGCTCATGTCCCGTCCGGTAACGGCATCTCGGAGCGCAACCACCGCTCCATCAAAACGTTAGCGGCCAGAAAGAAGTGTTCGGTGGTGGAGGCGGTGTATCGCTATAACGTGATGCCACGCGCGGAGGATCAGAGCTCCAGCCCCATGGAAACGCTGTTTAATTACCGAGTGAAAGTCCCAGATGTAGACACGCCAGCTGATGCCGATATCAGCCGCTTTACGGTCGGGGACAAGGTTTGGGTCAGGGACCCGAGCCGCCGCTGTGACGTGGCCAGTTCACTTGGGACGGTGAGCCGTATTGTGTCTGTACAGTGTGTTGAGGTGGATGGAGTGCCGCGCCATGTGCGGGACATGAGGCTGGCCGTTCTCCCACAGCCGGCCGAGGGCAGGAGTCCGCCGATCAGTGAGAGTGACGACGAGGGCGCCCCAATTATCTTTTATGAGCAGCGTGTCACTCCCGACGCTGCGGCTCGAGGTGAGTCGGAGGGGGCCTCGCACGATGGCGAGGAGTCGGCAGCTGCTCGCAGGAGCACGCGGGAGCGGCGTCCCGCTACACTGACGCAGTATGGTGATTTATAAATCAGGGGGGAGTGTAATAGAATTGTGTTATGAATTAGTAGAATGTAGCGTGCCTTATGTGTGTATTGTGCGTGTGTGCTTATGACCGTGTTTGTGTGGGCGCGCCGAGGCCGTGGGACCGGCGGGCCGCATTTCCTGCGCCTGCGGCGCTAGTTTTATGGCGCACAGCTGTGTGTGCACTGTGGACCGCCGGCCGGGCTCGGGCGCGCGGCGGCAGTTGGCGCCGCGACACGATGACGTAAGGAATACAGCGTGTGAGAGGTGGCTCGGTTTTCCACAGTATACTTAGCTGACGATTTGGACACATACGGTTTTTGGCAGCGATTAGTCGAGTTTCGTGTCGTCCCGATTCGAGCAACCACTGAGTATATGCGCAAGCACCATAGGCATGTGAGCTGGCGTCAGAAAACACGACCAAAATCGGTTCACCGACGGCGTTTGTTGGCCTAATGCATCGTTCAAAACGAATCGTATCCAACTTGATCATTTTTGTCAAAAAGGCGATCCATTCATTCCTGTTTTCATCCGGTATGGGTTCGTCAATCAGTCGATTCGAATCCTGTCTTGTTGTCAAGTTTCTTATAAGAATTTTTCCTTGAATCGTGAAAGGTACAATGAGTCCCAAGGGATCGTAAATGGTTGCTATTTGTCGCAAAAGCATTCTCCTTGTCAATATTGTTGGTATGTTGTGCTTCGTTTCACCCAGACTTGAACTGTTTTCGACTTGCCCTTTTGTGAAGTTGAATTTGACATCGAATATGAGGCTGTCAGGTAATGGCTCCCATAGTAATCCAAGGACCTTTTCTTGTTCCTGACACGAAATCTCAATAGTATTATTCGTCTTTTCGAACTCTCCCGGGATCGTCCAATGTTTGACTGTGAAACCACGCTGTGACAAAATGTCTTGCACCTGAGCAGCCAAGGTTAATGCTTCATTTGTGCTTGAAACAGACTGTACTAGATCATCGACATAGCTGTTCTTTGTTATCATATTCACTGTTTGAGGGTATTGGGCTCTAAACATCTCAGCGATCGTATGCAGTGCGGTCAGCGCAATAGTCCCGCTCGGTCGGTCTCCAAACGGAACCGCCGTTAAAACATAATATTTTGCGTTTTCATTTGTTTGAAGATCGCGCCAGAGATATCGGTGTACAGTAGGTCTACTAAAAAAGTCCCCCGCTCCAGAGGCGGCCGGCCGGCCGAACCCCCGGATTCCAGCCCCGACTCTATTGCGCAGGCCGCGGCAGTGACACGGGTCAGGTCGCGGCGCCCGGCGAGTGGGTCAGTTGGCGGCGGCCGGCCGTGGAGTGAGGACGCCGTGTGTGAGGCGCAGAGATGCCGCAGTGCAGAGGAGGGGAAGATAGTGACTCTGCACGATGCCGGAAATGATGCCTTTGTGATCTAAATTAAACACCTGCACTGCAGTGCATATCCTCCCCTGCCCCATTCCTATTATATCATAATCCTTCGATAATCCGTAATGACCATTCAACGCAAGCAAGCAAACAAAACAACCCGTTTAGCAGCGACATCATCTCGGATAAAAAAGCGACAGTGATGATTAGGATTGACTTAGCGCGAGGGCAAATCGAGGGGTATACATGTATCATATGCCGAGTATTTTATTCCCACCTAGCAAATTAGGATTGGGGATCTTGTCCAACAAGTCAGCGGCCGTTCTAGACACAGATAAATGCTTTGTTTTCGGTCGCATCATTATCTGCAATAATTCGAAGCGAGATTTAACCCTCGCCGGCCAAGAAGAAGGGGTGGATACCGCCACCATGTATTTTTTGCGGTAGCTCAAAGCACACTGATGATAGAAGGCTGACATTTCATATGCCTTACATTTGATTCAAGCCGGATCATTTGAAATCAACCACGTTTTCATGTCAGGTCACTTAACTATGATGTCTTAAGTAAACCTCTGCACACTGCACGGTTGTCGGTTATAAAATGATGCAAATCCGTAATCCACTTAAATGGGAAAATATAGAAGCTGTTAATTTGGCGTCGGAAATGACCTTAAACTATACCTCAAGCACATGAAATCGTGACTTCATACATTCTTGGCAAGGTTTAATGCTTCACTTTTGCATTGTTCACCTTGCGTGACGGAGTGCTCGTCGATAGGAGTGCTTCGTCAATAACTCCCGATCAAAATGAGCTAGCCAGTCAGGACAGCCATCAATGGACTCTGCAAGACTTGCTGAATCAAATAATTCAAGGTCATAACACCAAGTCACGTCAAGTGACCTTACCTCAAGGAAAGTTCCTGTGCTCATCATATCTAAATACATCGACTAACCGATCGCTTTAGAACCTTCAGCGATTTCAATGGGCAACAGTATATAATGTATTTGAAACGTTTACTTGCAAGTTTGACATTGCTGACAGAAAGGTCGGGTCTATTTTGACTTTTGAGATCGCTAAAGTCAATGGGAGAAAGTTGAACTGCGCTTTTTTTGGACGGAACGCATAATAAACACTCATGAAAACATGTGGTGCCTGATGAGACAAAATACTGAATGAGGAAATTGTTTGTTTTGTTGGGAGCCATCTTTTTCGGTCTGAGAAGGCCCTTGAAGAGCTATGACATAACTATGCTCTGGTGTAGTAATTTGGTTGTGCGAGCCAGCGACAGTGATCTGCGGACTCCGGAAGCGTGACTGTTCCCGTGGGACGATTGCCCTGTCGGGGCGGTCCAGCCGTCACCCCAACGGTCACCCAAAGAGAATTATGTGTCCTGGAATGGAACCGACATCAACTACAGGTTGGCTGGTGGGGTGACCTCCAGTCCAGAGAGGGAAGCATGAAGACTAGGGGCGATGCGGATTGGTTTTCCTGAGGATAGCGAGGACGGAAGGAATCTAGCACCCTTGACCCTTCCTTATCCCATTAACGCCCGAGCATAGAAACAAGTATTCAGTCATAATGCTTTTTTTGGATTTCGTGTCAAATTCGGGTGATTAAGAAGCCCTGAAAAAAATTAGGCCAAAATTTCAAAAACTTTTTGAGATACGATACCGACCCAAAATGAGCCACCGGGCGCCCGCTCCCAGCCGCCGCGCCGCCTCCGCGGCCCACGGCGTGGCGCGGGGAACGCCCCGCCCCGCGCCGATCGGTTGTCGTGCCACCTGACCAGCAGCACCTCCGACGTCCTGTCGAACCTCTGTTCGTAGCTGCCACGTCGTGACTTTGCCATCTCCTTCCTCTTGGTTACGGGACATTTGTCCAGTCTATTTTCCCTCACTTTGCCTGTCGCGCGGACTCCGCGGTCCTTCAGCTGCGCGAGGAGGCTTCTGGAGGTGAAAAGGTTGTCAAAAAACACCTAATGACCACCAGGATCCGACACCATGCTCAGTAGGGTGTGTCGATAGTCGCAGATTCGCGTTAGACAAAGATATAAATTGGCGCGAGCATGCCAAAACACTAGCCCTGCAGTTGGTTTTGCGTAAAAATGCGATTTGACGAGGCTCGGGCAGGTCGAAGTTACAGCGAAAAAGTCGCAGTCGACGGTGCTGCCACCTACATTGCCAATAACGGGCACTATCATATCGTGATAATTGGGGTAGTTTCAAATGAGAAATGACTTCTATTTTTGTTCAAACTGCTTAAGAAGAAATAAAACTTTTCGGAAACACACATTTTTCCCAAATATCGCGTTCTATTTTTTCCTGTTGAGTTGTTAGGAAAGTGGTAAATTTCAAGGTTGACGGCTAAAAAACGAAACAGGAGGAACAGAGCAGGAATCACCAAGACGTGTGCCGCGCCGATGCTGTAGCCTGTAGATAAGGGGTGAGCAACAGAACCAGCATACCTAACGATTTTGATTACTGATAGATATTTTTCTCTAAATGGAAGACTATTAGTAACTCAGGCAAGCCTTCTAATATAGGTATCGACAGGGTTGCGGTAAAAGGTACAATCGATGGCACATTACAATTATTCTGAGTTGGGTAACAACACTCTTCAGATACCTACCATCAACAACCTCACTATCACAGGTTATTACCAAAAATATCTATATTAGCGCCTACCGACATACGCTGAATGACGCTATCAATACCCGACATTTGTAAAAGGTGATTCGCCACACAGCCCGCCGGCGTCTGAGGGGTTGAATAAGTGAGCCAGATTGCCAGCGACTCACCGCTGAACTACCGGGCATAACAAAACGGACGATGCGACATGACTCAGAGATCATCACAGACGCAACGAAAAATGTAACCGAAGGCCATCTGAGCTGTTGTTGTTGTTGTTGTTGTGTGTTCCCTCCAGCCGCGTCACCGCGGTGTAGCCGTGCGGCTCTGGAGGTCCCTCACGGCGGCCGCCAGGGCCGCCACCTCTCCGTCGTCGCGGACGTCTTCCGGGTTCAGGAAAATCGTTCCGTACATCCGGAGACGCCAGCCCATGAGGGCCGGGCACCAGAAGAAGAAGTGCCGGGGCGTGTGGCCTCCTCCCGGCACACGGTGCACCGGCCCGCCGCACAGTCGGTGTCAGGGCACTGGCGGCAATCATCGGAAGGGTTCCGTCCAATCCGGTGAAGGTATTGGCGGGATCCTGACCAGTGGCCCGCGCGGAGCTGGTGGACGTCGACGGCCGACGATCTGTCCCCCGTCGCGGCCGGCGGCGGCAGCCGGTTCTCCATCAGGGTCCGGTACCAGCCCTCCGGCCAGGCGGCGATGGTGCGGTCGCGGGCCAGTCTGGCGGCCGCGCGGTGGGCGGTAGCGACGTCCACCGGGACCGCCGCCTGGGGGAGCGCGGTCGCCTCCTTGGCGATCTGGTCGGCGCGCTCGTTTTCGTCGACGCCGCAATGGGACGGCACCCACTGTAGGTGGATCCGGCGGGACGGACCGGCCAGGGCCGCTAGTTCGGTCCAGATGGCGGCTCCTAGCAGGGTCTTCTGGGACGCCGGGCCCTCTCTCAGCGTCGCGAGGGCCGACTGCGAATCCGAGCAGATGGTGATCGGCGCGCTCGGCTGGTGCGGGTGGTCGCGC